TATTTTAGGGTCTACAGGGTGTTCAGGGTCTCACTACCAGTGAGATTCCTAGTGATCCACCTGTTTACAGCCTCCCAAGAGCTGGGATTACAGGCATATGCCACCATGCCCAGTCTCAATGCCATCTCAGCACACCCTGGGGGTGGGGCCGGCATGGTAGGCCTGGGGATCAAACCCCCAGCCCCTAGGCGCTTTAATCTGCTGAGCTATTTGGCTGACCCATTTCATATTTTTCTTCTGCTGTTGCGGTTGATTCAAACTCTAGGATATTCTGTCACTGTTGTTTTCCAGGAATGCATTTGATGTTTCCTTTTCCTAAGTTCTACTTACCATGCTGAATTTCATTTTTCTTTTAAGAATGAACACAAGTATAAATGGCTGGGAAGCCTGCTTCCCTGACAGCCACACCTTCCTGGGCACACTTACACCCATGCAGATCACACCTCTAGGCTCTCAAAATACCTGGGAACACATTTTGACTTTGAAGCCTCCCTCGCACTGTACTGTGTTTATTAACTCTTCTTCCATCTCCTGCCAATTTTTAAAAACTAACTTTATTGATGTCCAATTGACATATAATAAAACATCTATTTCAAGTGTCTAATCCAAATTTTAACAAACATGTAAAGCCACGTAAGCAACCATGATGATAAAAACCAGGGTATTCATAGCATCACAAAACATGTCCATGGGAGGCTGAGGCAGGAGGATCACAAATTCCAGCCCAGCCTGGGCAATTTAGGAAGGCCTTATCTCAAAATAAATAAAAGGAGCACATAAGACGCAGCTGGATTCTATCCCCAGTACCCGCTATACATGCATACGCACCCCAAATGGCCAGCCAGGGGCTGGGGAGATAGTTCAGCAGCATAAGTGCCTGCCTTGCAAGAGCAAGGTTCTGAGTAAATAAATAAATAAAAATGTCCAACCATACCACTAGTCCCTTGTTCCCTTTCATATTTTTTTTCTTTTTCTGAGACAGGGTTTCACTATGTAGTTCAAGCTGCCCTTCAGCTTGCTATGTAGCCTAGGATGGCCCAAACTCTCTGCAATCAGCCTCCCAAATGCTAGAATTACAGATGTAAGCCACCATGCCTGGTCCTTTTTCCCTTCTGAAAATAAGTTACTTAAATTTTATAGACCATTCCTTTTCATATCCTCCTATAACAATTTTAATGTTTTCTACTATAAGCAAGTACTATTTATAATTGTAAATTCAATATTTACATCTTAAGAGCACATTTGGATTAGTTATAATTAAACACTACATTAAACATGAAGCTAATATCATAACTTCAAATACACTTGACACTGATTTGTACATATATAAAACTTAAATGATTATGAAAAGTTAGTAATAAATATTCATGGATAAGCTAGTACTTAACTAAATATGACTGAAAAAAATAAAATTTCAGCATTATCTAAGATGATACTTTCTGACTCAATGAAATAAATTTTAAAGATACATTTTTTTAAAACACAGACTCTTAAGAACAGAGTTTTTAAGTAACTCACATTTCTAGCAGTATAGCGCACTGTCTCTCCAAGTAAAACAAGTTTAAAATGTTTGATAGAAAAAAAACTAAAATACCTTTTCAGTACATGAGAGGGGCTGATAAGAAATTAAGACTTCTTAAAAGCCAAAACCTAAATGCAAGGAGAGCCCACGAAGATAAGCATTTTAGTCAGCTTCCATTAGGAGATCTTAATCAAAGTGGGTAATTTTTACCTGGTTGGTTTTTAAAAAAAATTTTTGACACTCACATAACTGCACCTCTCACTCCCCTTGTTTGCTCTTGCACTTCCATACCATTAGGTGCTACTCTAAGCCCCTGCCCAATTTGAGCTTACATTGCTGTGCCCACCTCCCTCTATGTGGGGCTCTGGGACTAGTTCTCAGTGGGAGACCATAAACTGACATAGTGGCAGTCACTTCTGACCCCAGAGAGTCAAGAACTGAGTGTGTCTCCTTCAACCTCTTATGGTATTGTTATTTTTGTTTTGTTTTGTTTTAGAAATTGCCAACTGAACAGAGAAGATTCCTGAACCCCAGAGAACAGCAGAGCTACCTAAATGAAGTAGCTTGGCTCTCAGGATCGCCATATGGAGAAAAGCAGCACTGTCACCAGAAACATCTAAATTACATTACTATGTGATTGAGAAATGAACTTCTATTGTGTTGTTGCTTAAATTTTGGATGATATTTGTTACAGTTTGGTGTGATTCTAATCACCATAGATTTTATTTCCTTGAAGCCCACAGGGAACAACACACAAATCTCAGGTGGTATAGAGGAGACAATCTATGGGAACTGCATAAAAGTGGGACCCAAAAATGCTATTCCCTCAGCATGAGGTGAGCTAGCAATATTCTTCCATGTCAATACGAGGGAAGTTGACTATCTTAAAATACAGAACTGAACAGGAATAAGGAGAAGTAATTCTTCCCTCCTCCCCCCTTAGAACTCCACTACCATAAGCAAGCTCAACCATCAGAACTTCCACTCTGTTCACACTGAGTAGTATGAAAAACAGCAAGCTGAGAATTCACTGTTTTGGGGACAGGGTCTTGTCATGTAGTTCAGGCTGACCTCAAGCTCTCAGCAATCTTCCTGCCTCAGTCTCCAGAGGGCTGGGATTACAGGTGTGTGCCACCATGTCTACCCTCAAGAATTCACCTTAAAGTGGTTTCCAGTTAATAGTGCTCCCAGAAACAAATGCAAATTCTCTCTGGAGAAAACTTCTTTCCTTCCAAGAAAAATGAACACAGAGTCAAAAATGACAAAACACCATGTGAAAGAGACAACAGCAAGAACAGAGAGTGGCTGTTGATCTTTCTGGTACCATTTACTAGGTGTTTGATGTTTTATTTATTGCCCATCTATACCACATTATCTTGAAGTTCTTTTTTTTCTATAACTCTCTGAGATTCAATTCAGCTTCAGAGCAGATCACAGATGGGCAAATCCCAACCTCAATAAAGTCAAGATTTTCCCATACTCAGGATAGCAACTCCAGGCTCTTGCCCACTCTCCCTCCTGTAGCTCCTCACTTAATTATGCCTATGGAGAAGTGGTTCTTCAAGCCTTGCCACTATTTCTCAATTTACTTCAAACATACATCAAATATAAAAGGCAGGAAGAATCAGAACCTCAATCTCTTTTTCTCTCTCTCTCTGTCTCTCTCTCTCTGTCTCTCTCTCTCTCTCTCTCTCTCTCTCTCTCTCTCTCTCTCTCTCTCTCTCTCTGATGGAGTCTCACTATGTAGTTCAGGGTGGCCTTGAACTTACTATGTAGCCCAAGTTGGCCTTGAACTCTTGGAGATCCCCCTGCCTCAGTCTTCAAAGTGCTGGGATTACAGGTATGTAATGCCACACCTCATTGTTTAAATCCAGCCTGATGGTTACCTTCTCCCTAGTCACCATGTTGTCCTTTTTTTTTTTTTTTTTTTCGCAGAACCAGGGATTGAACTCAGGCCCTTGCGCTTGCCAGGCAAGCACTTACTCTACTGAGCCATCTCTCCAGCCCCCGCCATGTTGTCCTTTATTCAGGGGACACATCTCGGACTCTTGCTCTCCTGTTGTGGCTGTGCATGTGACTCCTGAATAAAGGCATGGAAACTGGCCTGGCATGCAGATTACACTAAGCATCATAGTCTCAGGATGAGCAAACTCATCATTGCACCAGCAGGATCATACAGAATTGCCTTACCTCCTCTGTCTTTAAAACTTCCCATATTCGAGCATGATCTTCCACCACCCAGTGTCCTGTGTTTTCTACCTTGCTGGAGAATTTGACTTTAGGCACCACTAGAGTAGGCTCTTCTGCAGGCTTCCCCTCCATCTTGAGAGAGGTAGGCTGGAGGCATCACGGATCTGTGTAGAAGAATAAAGTGTGGTGCGGGTTAAACTTTAACGTAGAAAGAGATAGGAAGGCAACTGATTGTGCTCAACTTCTGAATCATGAGATGGTAGAAGACCCTATCACAGCAGGCATCAACTCTTATGTCTAATTTTTATATCCAAAATATTCATGACTGGAATTTCACTGAGGACTTCCAGAAGTGAAAGGACACATCCTGAGAACAGATAAAGCAATATAAATTAGAAGGCAAAGCAAAAATATCTGCCTGTTGCGTCCGTTCACCATTTCGCTCTGCCCTCCTCAGGAGGCGAGATGGACTGTGGGGGTGGAAGGGAAGCCTGAGCAATCCCAGCATCTGTCTGTACTGTGCAGAGGTGGACAAAACACCGGCAGTGGTGGCCACAGTGCTCAAACATCACTGTGCACTCAGGCGCAATGCTAAGCAGGCAGGGGTAATTCAGGAGTTTGCTTCTTATATCTAAGACATGTAGAACCTCTGGTCAGCAAGGTGACAAACAAGTAATAGCAACATGGCATGTGACAAGATAGGGTATGAAATGCCACAATAATCATGTTTCCAAACTGTTAGAGAGGGCTGGCTCAGAAACAGTGAGTTTGTCTGTATTTCTGAGGTCCTGGTTCAATCTCTAGCACATGAAGAAAAAAAAAAATATACTGCAATAGAAGCAAAGAAGATTCCTTTTGACATTTACTCGCTGTGCTCCTTTCTTGGGTCCTTAGTTCATCAGCAGTCACTGTAAAGCAACATTTACAATTTGCTATGAATGTCGCCTTCGCTGGCATCTTCTCATGAGCCACCAAACAATAGCTCGCTCAAAACCACACCCTCTTCTGCCCAGCTCGGCACCACTGTGTGAAGGAGCCTCCCGCTTCCATCTGAGCCACCATGAATCTATCTTCCTCAGGCTAATTTTTATAAAAAGCAAATCTGCTAAACTTTTCCTTGAGCCCACAGTCCAGGCTCCTCGGGCCACACAGAAGGCCCTTTGTGTCAGACTTCTCACGCCTCCCTCTGTCCACTTCAAATATGCACTACTGCCTGCTCATCCACTCTGCGTCAGCCATTCCCAAGGACTTCCGTGGCCCAAACACATCCGGCACCTTTGCTCCCTGTGACTGGTCCTTTCTAACTCCCTCCACAAGAGAATAAAGGTCTCTCTTTTGTTATCTATGTATGCTGGACAGAGTTCCATTGTGTCACTACAGTGCTTTACTTATTTGTTTTCAACTCCATTTCTACCTTCTAGTCTTATAAGCATCTGGAGACTAAAGATGGTGTCATATACGGAGGAAGTACTAAATAAATGTTTCACAAATTCATCAATTCTCTCACCCCATAAACTGGGAGAATACAATGAAAATGAGAGCAGAATCTAACAGATTCAAATAGCAATTATAAAAGTCAAGCTGTATCTTCCTTTTAACTTGATTAGCTTAGTGGGCTAAGTTCTTCATAAGGAAGAGACTGACTGATCTAATCATTTATCCTGTACCCCCAAGCAGCTAATATCTCCAAATGCAAGTGCTCATTAGCTAACATCAGAACAGTTTTCATGGAAATGTCTACAGGGAATTGAGTATGTTGGCAAAAAGTAGGTCTGATGCTCACTTAACCCACAGCCTGAAGAGGACTACATGGAAAGTGAAATCAACATGAGGGGCAAGGGTAAGAGGTCAGCGGATCTGAGACAACTGTCTTCTGCAGAGAAGTTGGCGCCTCATGAGTTGTGTCTGCATGCCATAGAGTGGGCCCCCTGCCTGCACAGAGCACTGAGGAGGAAACTGATAACCAAAGCTCTCCTACAGCACTAAATATGCCCTCATTAGCAATCTGGAAGTAGAACCTACATGATTAATGAGCAAAGTTCTTCGGAGTGGACACACTAATAAATGATGTTGACACATACATACAAGGAAACCAGAAAAAAAGCAGAGTCATGTTGAAGTTTCTAGCCAAAGAGAAAAGGAAATTAAAAATAAACAGGCAGGATGGAAATAAGCCAGATGAGTAGGGAAGGAAATTCCATTGTTGTTACTGGAGAGAATAACATAAACAATAAACAACAAATCAAAGCAAAGTAGGAAAACTACATAAAATGGTTTGGGTTGTATCCTTTATATATCATGCAAATGCAATCGGATAAAATAGACAGATTACAAAATCCCGGCACAAACGATGGAACGTCTGTAAGCCCAATGTATCCAGGCACCCCAGAGCTCTTCCTCTACTGTCTGCCCATAGCTACTCTCTCCTCTCTGCAGCATGGGTGAGAGCTGGCAACTTTTCTGTGCTGGAGACTGAACTCTACTGCACACTGACTTTCCAATACTGCTCCTTGCCCTGTTTGGGAAGAAGATTCCAAGTTGCACACAGTTCCAAAGCACGCAGATATGCTTGATACCCCAGAGGAATATCAAGAGGCAGCCAGCTCTTACGAGGCTCTTCAAGAATTCTGAGTTCCTCCACCCCAGGGGTACTGGAGGCCTTCTTGGTCATTCTTAGTACATCTCCTCACTTATAAAAAATGACCTTCTTCTGAATATATGTTGGGCTTCCACTGTGTTAGGCAATCCCTGTCCACACAATCCCTAACATGCAAAGTAACCCTACAAGGGACATCTTACCACCATTTTACAGTAACAGGAAATAAAATTCAGGGAGGTGAAGTAACTTGACTACACTGCTAGAAATTTGTAGAATGTCCAGGTTCCAGATCAGCTAAGGAGGTCTTGACTCTATTTTTCCCCCATCACTGGTGGAATGGCATCCCTTCCCAGGCCCTAGTGTCAGCAGCAGTGTCTACCCTGTAGAACAGCACCCTCTTGAGAGATGGCCACACCCACTGAGAGCAAAGTTAAGGGTGTGCTACAGATAGGGACAGAACTGTGTACTGCCACCTCAATTCATGATCCAGGAAGGCATCATGGATGTGTGAGGTCTATAGTCCCACAGCTGGCCCCCCATGCCCAGAAGGGCTCCATGCATGTGTGAATGCTCTGCTGTCTGCATCTTGAACTTCTTACTATTGCAAAAGGGACCTTGCATTTTTGCTTTGCAGGCCCCACACATTATATAACTAGTCTTGCTGCTCACTTATCTCATCTTCTTCAAGTCTAAGGCTCCATTTCATATTTTTTCAATAATTCATGCATTACAAGTTTCCAAATAATTCTCTTTAAAAGAGCAAGAAGTCTATGTGGTAGACATTTTTTGTTAAAATTAAAACAAGAGACATATATACAGCAGTAGCTATCTTAGATGGGCAGTGCATTTTATTTTTTTTTTTATTTTTTTTTTATTTTTTTTTATTTTTTTTTTAAACCAGTGTGCGCCTTTTTGTCTGTGAGACACGGTTGTTAGGTTGACAACTTTTTTATTTATTTATTTATTTATTTCATTTATTTATTGTGTGTGTGTGTGGCCAGCTCAGCCCACCAGGGGGCGGGGCTGGCTGGCATGTGGTGCTGGGGGATCAAACCGTGGTCCCTGTGCTTTGCCAAGCTTGTTTCAAGTAGGTGCTTTAGACCACTGAGCCATCTCTCCAGCCCCCGGGCAGTGCATTTTAGAGTTGAACTACTACCTTCTTTTTTAAGTTTATGGGCCAAACACCACTATACAAGCCTGTTCGATAGCACCATCAGGCTGTCTGAAATTGCTGCAAATCTGAAATGCAGACTTGTTCACAGTAAGAATGACTCTAAGAACTCTTTTGCAAATTAGCTTTTTAACAGTGTAACCCTAAAACACCTGACACCCAAAACAGAATGATTTTTGTAAAATGCTGAATAGTCAGATCAGCCTTAAAATAGAAGCTGGGTAGTGAAAGGAATGTGAATGTCTACAAGGGCAACCATCTGATCAGAAAACACAAAAGGTGTAAAACTGCTTGAGAACTTTTTTCTAATCACAAACAATTGTGGCAGCACATTATATCTACTGCATGAAGCAGGAGTAAAACTCAAAGCAGAAAGATGAGTCTGATTGAATGGAAAAAAAGACGCTCTCCTTTGACACAAAGAAATGACCCGCAGAGGAGAAAGGCCACATGAGGGTCTCTGAGGTCACTCTGTCGTCAAGTCTGAGAGCTCTAACATCTACACCAGAGATGAGGGTTTTTTTTAAAGAGCTTTTTGAGTTAAGTTACATCCAAAGATCAAAGATTGATAGTAATTAAAAACTGGTTTTAAAGAAAAATTATTACTGTATAATTATTACCAATGAGAAAGTATATATTTCCTCAAAGAAAGTATTATTTGAAATTTGTGTTTTTAAAATTTGTATACTGTCTTCAAAACATTCGCTAACACTGCTTGTGATGTACTATAAATGATCTGTAACATATACTCTTAATCTATTCTTCCAAAAGTAATCACTGAATAAGGTTTATCACATTTTCCATGTTAATAATAAAGGAACTGTTCAATGGTTTTATCCCCTAAGTGGTCAGCAAGCACCAAAAAAGTAGATGAGATAACTTCTCATATATTAATCTTTAAAAAAATCAAGTATTGAGTGACAATTTAAGAACACAAAAATTTGCCATTTTTACTATTTAGACTTGCTATTTAGTAAAAGATTATCCATAACTCTCATGGATGAAGTCTTCGAAAAATGGTTTTGAAGTAAGTTTTAAAGCACAATTTCACTGAAGCCTGTATTTATTTTATTAACCTTACGCTGGACTTTGTTTGATAAATCAATCTGTACTTTAGTGAATTTGACTTTCTTTCCTCTGATAATAAATAGTACATGAGACACCTCTCATAAATTATTATCTTTTTTCTCCCCCCTCTCATCTTTAAATATTTTTGGAAGAAAAAAAGAAGTGTTTAGTGTTCAGACAATTCCTGGAACGGCCTGGTGTTTCCTGTCTCTATCTATCAGAGCCTTGCCTCTCTGGGGCCCTGCAGAGCCCATTACATGTATTAATAATACAGTATTTCTGTTTTGTGCCCTTTATGAACATAAACTCTCTGCTTCTACCTGAAG